GTCACCCACAGTTCGAGTCCTAGACCTGCTGGCTTGAACCTCATGCCAGATGCATGTGCACCCAAAATCCCGAGGGGAGAATGAAGGAGAAGAGATTGTGCCATGATAATCCACCCTGGAGGGAGTAATTTCTCACTTTCTATCTCTCTGGCAAGTGCACACACCCTACAACAACAACAAAAAATCTCTCTCAAAAATAAATAAATAATCTCTAAAAAGAAAAGAAACAAGAAAGTCAACAAGATTTGCTAATGCCAGAGATATGGATGTTTTGTTTTCCCCTTCTCAGGTAAATTTGAATTATATTCTCTTTGCTTATAATCCAAAGAATCTTCGTCCTTTCTGGACCCAGATATCTGAAACTGTAAAACAAGGATGTTGAAAACTTGTCAGTGCTTCTCAATGGGGGCATTGTTGGCATTCGGGTTGGGACAATTCTTTATTAAACAAACTGTCCTCAACACTGGGTTTCGCCCCTGCCTGCTAAATGCCAGAAGCAACTGAAAACCTCAGTCTTTATGATGACCAAAAATTCACACCCATCGCACTACATAGACGACACAGACACACACACACACACACACACACACACACACACACACACATTTTTGAATGCCCCTGGTAGGGATGACACTTGCCTCCACTGAAAACCAATAAACTAGAAAATCCTTAAGCCCCCTTAGAAATAAGCTAAAAATAGCCACATTGTGTGTCAAAATTAAGTTCCTTAGAGTCATCTTAGCATTGAGTGAGAATAATGGAAAAAAATCTCTGTTCCCTGGTGAATTGAGGACACCAATTTATAGCTATATGGGTAAACCTATCGAAGGATTATGGTGAGAAATTACTTGATATGAAATAACTCTAGTATAACCTAAACTAGATCCTTAACATTCCTAAGGGAAATATCCTAAATACTTTTGAGTATCCCTGTTGCAAATAATCTACCCCCCATTAAAAAGGTAGTGAAGAAAACTGGAAATTTTCATATCCTTAATTCACCTATCAATAAAGGATTAAACTCACCTTACAAAGCTACACTCTGAAGCCATCTTTTTTTCTAGACCTCATTAATTACTTATCCAGCAAGAGCAGTTGGTTTAAGGGGCTGGGAGTCAGGGAAGATGGTTTGATTTTTTACAAAGAAGTGGATTTTATTACTTTGAAAGTCTTACTACAAGGATGACTAGAGAACTATAGTGAAATCAATGGTTGGTGGTCAACTACATCCATTCACTTCACGCCAGTCTCTTAGCTTGTACAATTTACTACACGTCATTCTTTGTTAGCCAAAAACACAAATGTTAATTTCATCAAAGCCAAGGACCTTCTGTGCCTCATAGTGCTAAGTAAGTGAAGAAAATACAGTTTCCAGTGCTGTTCATAATTGATCCGTTCTGCAATCTATATTTTATGCTACCTTGGCAATCGTGAAATCTATTGGTCTGGCTTTGCTTTTGCTTTTGTTTTTGGTTTTTTTCATTTTTTGTTTTACTTTTGCATTCAGTGGTATTGTTTTCCATTCCTGGCAATCTGGCACTCTTAATATTAATGTTCAAACAAATGGTCTGAACTCTCCACTGGCAAATTTGGAGCTGTCAGGAAAGCGGGCTATGCTCCATGGGTTGCCTTTGAAATATGAGCATCATAAGATGACTTCACATTGCGTGAGCTCACCAACGGAATTCAGGGTGAGGAATACAGCCACGACACAGACGGTTCTTTCATCCCAGCTCGTTTCAAAACTGTCATAAATTACTGCTGCTGGATGTATTGCCAGGAGCCTGTGGCCAATTTTCATGTTTAGGAGGATTTGAGGGGTACCCTATACCATCCTACTGGCTCGACTAGCTATCAACTTCTCTTCTCCACTCAGCCTTTCCTTGAAACCCAGCAGCGGTTTTACACAATGGTATCTGCTCTTGCAACAAGGAGTAATTTAGTTATCTGAATGCTCCAAAAGATGTGACAGAAGTCAGAGAAACAAGACAGAAAGGGGAAGGAAGGGGAGACAGTTAAACCACTTCAAAACTACTTTTAGAATATCAGGCTGCACAGAAAATGGCCCAGAAACCAAGAGTAAAACCTCAACTTTTCATACACTCATCTTTGAAGCCAAAAGTTGATGGAAAGGCCAGCTATGAAAGCACGGCCCCTCGCCTTCGTGAATAGCCAATTTAAGTAATTTCCTATGTTAGCTTTGCTTTAAATTATTGGGACTGCTCTGAAGAGCCTTCCTTATCTTCTCCTTATTCCCTTTATCCCCGTACCTTCGTGCCTTAGATTTAGGTCTTGCAAAAAAGCTGAGATTTGATTTTCAGCAGACTATACCATGGGCAAGGCTTGTGTGGGGCCGGCTGTATGTTAGGGAAATGGAAGATCTCACTTCTTGCCCAGCTCTCCTTGATGAGAAGCAATCACCTCCAGCTGGGCCAAGTTCATGAACAAATGTTCTGTTTTCACTGGATGTTGCTGCAGTGCCATAATGAATGTATGTATGTGATGGAAGAAGGAAGCTTCATGAAATAGAAAGAGTTGGAGTTGGTGCTGGAAACATGAGCTGCTTTGTTCTTAAGACAACTGCTTCATCATCTCGAACACGTCTCTGTTTTGAAGAATCTGTCTTTTCACTTCCAGCCACAACCCTCAAGCTACAATAACAGGCTCATGATTTTTTTAGATGCCAAGGTTATAAATACTCCTTTATGAATATTTTCCTTTGAACTTATGTCTCTTGCAGTAGAAAAATTGCCTTATGTATTTCAGAGCTGACAGAAATGGACAAAGCATGCAAATTGTTCTCTTTGGGGCAGTAAAATGCTTCAAAATGCACATAGAAAAATTCCAAATGCAGCATAATGTTTATGAAGCACTGCCTTTGCAGCCATAATTTTTAAAAAATAATAGTTCTGCCTGGCTCGAATTACATAGAACATATTTCAGAGATTAATGTCAAGGTTAATGCCCTAAAATGTCTCCCTTTACAGCATCTTGATTGCTTTTCCTGTATTAGTACAAATTTATAGTGCACAGAATTTCAGAATGTGTCATTTCAAAGGAACGAAAGCTTTACTGGATTAGCTGCTTATGTTTTTATTTTTCATTTTTTTCCGGTTTCAACACATCTATCTTCCAACCTCCTCTAAAAGTAATTCAAATAATGCCAACTGAACAGATTATAGATCTCCTATTAATTTCATTCTGCCTTGGAAGGAGCTTATCACTTAGGCTTATTATATATGCAGCACTGTCAACTAACATTTAGGTTCCTTATTAAAATTTCTTTTCATTCTGTTTTAATATCATCAGCTAAACCATTTCTTGTATTTTTTTTAAATGTGTTTTCCTCGAGCCCCTTTCAAACGTTTTTCCTCATCCAAAAATTAAACCAGAAAACTAGGTTCTCTTTAATCCTGCTTTGTGGCTGGGAATCATTTGTGTTATGCCCATGCTAATGCAAATATCACCTTTGCTGCACCATAAAAATAATTCTGCCTGAGAATGATGTGCCTCTACAGCCTAATATTATCAGGTTCAACATGGCAATGATAGTTTAAGAATGCTTCCCCAGATTGAAGGGATGGCCAGTAAAAATCTCAGGATACAACTATTGCTTTGCATTTGGCATTAAGAATATTCTGCAAAGTGCTTTTCATGTACAGAAGTAATTCTCTAAGCTTCAGAGACAGACTACTTGAGTACAAAATCCTTTGTTGCTGCTTACTAGTACTTAACCATTCTAAGCACAGTACAATGAGGATAACGATACCACCTACCTCGTAGGACTGCTGTGAGGATGAAGGCAGTAAAAACAAACAGGATACTGGTGCAGAGGTAGCACTCAAGTGTAACTTCTTAATATTATTCATTCACAAAGGGACAACACCCCTTTACATCATTTTAGAAGCGTATTTGTAAAATAAAAAGAAATCCCAGAAAAATCTAATATTGTAAAATTTACCAATGTGAAGTTACAGATGTTATGTATATGTATTTGACTGTTCTATATAAGCATAGAGTTATACAGATAAAGTTATATGGATCCTCTTCTTACCCAGAAAGTATGTTTCAGCAACCAAATCACTTTCCCAATGACTTCCATTGTCACCGAACTGGAAGCTGCCATTGCCTCCCACACCACCTGTCTGTCTCTCTCATAGCCCCAGCCCATTTCGTATTTACCGAATGTCTGCTTTGAACAGGAAGCACAGAGAACAGAGGCCCCAACTAACTTCAGCTATAATATATGGCAGGATCAATTTCCTATGTGTCTAATTGATCAGATTGCATCTCTACATATTTGTTTCTAATTGCTAAAGTCAGTCCATGAATACCTATATGTTTGATTTAAAAAAGTGTAATAAGCACTTAACCAAACTTAAATACCATTTAATGTACCCACGTCAAAATGATACTAACTGCTGTGCTTCTCCTGTGTTACCTTGTTACTGACTGTAGGGGTCACACTCAACAGTCTTTTTCTGGTTTCATCTCAACACGAGACCAAAATATCAAATACATGTCTAGTGAATTTCATAGCTTAACAAAACAGACGCCAAGAATTTTGTCGATGCAATTTGATTATACCTACATAAAAAAACCGCATTGAAAAAAAATAATGAAAGGAGCTAAAACTAAAGAACCAGTGGTGATTCTGTTCATATAAAAGGTAATAATTTTTTCTCCATTTTCTAATGTTTTTGTTATTTACTGTTATTTTCATAATAAAGATGTTAAATTTGTGAAACTACAAAACAATTGATTATGCTTTAAACTATGTAATTCTCCACTTATAAAGATAAAGAAAAATTCACAACATGTCATTTAATTCTGACTTTCATTTCCACAAACCTGATCCTACAAAGATTTCTCAAAGAAATCTGAAACTTCAAACTACATCTCTATTTTGTATAATATGCAACAAATTCCAAAGTGTGAAAAATCATAAAATTAATACTTTATATTAGACACCATTATCATATGTAAGTACATTTAGAAGACCATGATATTGAATAAATAATTCTGATTTAGCTTCATAGTTTTTATTTAAAGGAATTTTTAAAAGAACCTTGCTTTCTGTTTTCCTTCCATGTTCCCATTCTTATCTCTAGATGAAAATTAATGATCAATTTAGGACACAGTGTAATTCTAGGACTCATTGATCACATATTCAAAGACACCTACAGAATGAATCTATAGGACAGAAGCTTCGAACAGCATTTGTCTGAAATCAGATTATTTTAAATAATACCTTGACTTTTGAACAAAGCAATTATCATAAACTAAATCAGAATATTACAAATGAAGATATTCCGACACAAAGACTTGTATGATTTTGTTAAGGTTGTCAATAGTTGATTCATCCAAGTGTTCTTCAGTGTCATCCATGGTGTGCCAGACTTCAGGGAAAGGAGTTGGTATCAAATGCAGAATTGGAACACCTGACAAGAAAGAAATGACTGTAATTAAATGCGTATTTCCAGTGAGTAAACTAGAAAGTACTGTTCTTCAAGCAGGGGGAACTCTCCACCATATAAGGACAACTGATAATTCATCGTCTTCTATACAGTTCCTTATATCTTACTCTTGTCCTGCAACATGATTCATTCATTAAAGAAAAATGTATTCATCATTTCTGTAAATTATTATAAAGCAAGTATTACATAGCAGTTTCTGTTCTGAGAGCTGAGGTTTCGTAAGTGAAAAGGCAAAGCCATGCCCATATGGCGCTCACATTCCAGTGCAGAACGCATCAAGTAAACAACAGTTTATTTTCAGAAGTGATGAGGCTTATAAAGGATCATAAAACGAAGGAGTATACAGGATAAGGGGCAGGCAGCAAGACCAAAAAGAGAGGTATTTAAAGTCAGGGAGGGCCTCTCCGAGTAGCAAACGTTTACATAGAGACATGCACCGAAAGGAAAGCCAGCCATGCACAGATCTGGGGAGGAGTATTCCAAGCAGCAGCACTGGCAAGTGGAAAGGTCCTGAGGTAGGAGCGTGCCTGGTCCGCTTGAAAACAGCAATCAGGCCAGTGTGGCAGGATCAGACCAGCAGAGGTAGGTGATATTAAAGAAGGAGAACAGAATCCAAAAACAGGGACCCTTGATGGTCTTGATAAAGACCGAGTGTTATTCTATATGATGGAGAGCCACCGAAGCTTTAAGACAGGAAAGGAACATAACTGGATTTACATTTGCTTTAAGCAAAAGCACCACCTGATGGAGTGGTCATGCTGCAATTTTTTGTCTTCCTTTTCTCCTTCTTGTCAGAAATTTAGACATACCTAAACTCTTATTAGTGTATTTTTTAAGCTGCCAGGGCCCAGATTTGAACCAGGGTAGCCCATATGGGATCTGGCTCCCAATGCACAGTGTATTCAGGGTGAGAAAATTCATTTGGTATGCTGTAATGATACATAGTGATTGAATTTTTTAAAAAAAAAGAAAGAAAGAAAGAAAGAAAAAGAAAAAGAAATACTGTATGATGGGGCTGGCCCTGGATTTACACTTTTAAAAGATAATTCCAGTATGTCAGCAGGTATGTGGAGGTTAAGGCACTGGATCCCATATGGCTGACTCCACAGTTTGAGTCCCAGACCCACCAGCTTGAAAATCACTCTGTGTGCTTGTGCATGCATGTTTAAAATCTCTACAGGAGAATGTAAGAGAAGGGACTGTGGTATGGCCATCCCCATGGAGGGGGGGGGGGGATCTCTCTCTCTCTCTCTCTCTGTACCTCCCTCCCTCTCTCTCTCTCTTTTCTGGCAAGTACACACACACACTAGCAAAAAAAAAAATTAATAAAAGTAAAATAACTAGCACCTATGTAAAGAATAGGGAAGCAAGAACAAAAGCTGGAAATCAATTGGAGGCCACTGCAAGAGTCCTTGAGTTGCTTGAGACTTCTACTGTATTGCCAAGAAAACACCAGAGCTACAGTGTAAGAATACTAAAGGAGAGAGAATGTAGGATATCATTGGGATAGGATCTTTTATAAATATTCTAGGTATGGGGAAAAATAAAGATGTCCTCAGGGATTTGGAAAGACTAATGAAAAAATAAAAGCCATGATATGATAAGATATGATATAATCTGATATATGATATGATGAATGATGTAATTAATCAATTAGTTAAATGCAATTGTTCCTCACACTTTTAAGTTGTTACCAAACAGAAGGAATAGGAATTGTCACTAAAGTCTGACACTACATATCAGCTTGCACAAAATTCAAATGGTACAAATTCTATTTCAGGTATCCTAACACCAAGCTCTTTCATTACCTTTTCTTAAAAATGGAATGTGGTCATCCTGAATCACACCTCCAGAGCCATAATTCTGGAAATACGGCCTCTCCCAAGAGTGATCCTTGAGCAAACCCAGTTGATGGAGTTCATATTCTGAAGATGAAAATTAGACGGTAGATGAATATTTTATCTAATCAAGGCTCAGAATGCATTTTTAGCATTTTAGCAAATCTTAGCACAAGAAACCATCAAGTCTTAAAAGATCACGCAGCAGTGTGCACGGTCGGAACATGGGCGTGCATATTTTGGAGTAGGAGGAGAGAAGCATCATGCACGTCTCCAGGCTTACAGGTGAGAAGACCCTCAGAGGTGGAACCTCAACTGAAGAATGGAGAATTGGAGAATTAAAAAAAAAAAAAGAGGAAAATGAGGGTGAGATGTGTAGATGCTTATAGGCTCAAGATACTGCTTGAAGAGAGGTGGAAACTCAACTGAAGAATAGAGAATTGGAGAATTAAAAAAAAAAAAAAAAAGAGGAAAATGAGGGTGAGATGTGTAGATGCTTATAGGCTCAAGATACTGCTTGAAGAATGCCTTGAGAGGGGGTATCGGGCTCAAAAGAGGAACGCCCAGACAGTAGGGATGGGATATGTCACGTAATCGCTTTATGGGAAAGGATAGCTATTGTTTCCTTTGTCAGTAGTTCCCGAAGTTTGGTCCCTGGCCAGCAACATCAGCATCACATGAGAGAGAACTTGTGAAAAATGCAAATTCTCTGGTCCCATCTTAGACCTGCTAAATCAGAAATTCTAAGGGCAGAGCTCTGCAACCTGTGTTGGAACAAGTCCTCCAGTTGATTCTGAGCCACACTCAAATTTGAGCACACTGGCCTGCATTCCACTACTCTCACCATCACATAACATGTGTTACAATGTGCTACATCAATATAGGCGTTGTATGTTGCAAGATGACAAGAGATCACATGAAAAGTATAGGACAACCAAATGAAACATCCTGGGATAGCTCTTTACTTTTTAAAGGCTAAATGTAAAGGATAAAACTAGAGCAACTAGTAAACTATGTAATACTATGTTAGGAACATTGAGAAAGCCTTGACCACCATGAAAAACAATGTTCTCATTCATTTAACAAGAGCTAGAATGCCTTTACTATAGGAACCAACTTCTCCTTATACAGAAACATGGTTTGAAGTGTAAATACTGCAGCAGGGGGATGGGTGTACAATGAGTTCAAATTGCACTAATGTGCTAGTTAATGACATATATTCAGTTTGTTACAGGAAATTAGAAAATCCTTACAAGAAGACCAAACCCAGTTTCTTGAGGTTACTATCAAAGTAAGGCTGGGGAACCAGCAGTTAGCGTAATGGCTATGTCGCTGGACTCCCACGTAGTCGACGGCGGTTCACGTCCTGGACCCGGTGGCTTAAAACTCACGCCGGGCACGTGTGCGTGCATGCCCAAGATCCCGAGAATGGAGGAGAAGGGATTGCGGCGTGACCATGCCCCCTGGGGGGTGATTTCTCACTTTCTGTCTCTATGTCTCTCTGTCTGTCTGGCGAGCGCACGCGCCCTATAGTGAAAAACCTCTCAAAGAAAAAAAAAAAAGTAAGGCTGAAGAAATTTATATGAATAATACCACAATAGCAATTCTTTCAAATTAGGGATTGAAATTTACCCAAGATGAACATTTGAAGTTAGGTACAGAATTCCATTAGAAGGTATTGAATGTAGATGTCAGAAAATTCTTAATTCATGTCAAAACCCCAAGTGAAGGAGGCAGTGATTTTTTTTTTGTAACTGCTTAGAAGTCGTATCATTCTGCCTTGCTCCAAGAAGCATGGGTGGCTAGTAAGGAATTTCTAGCATGAAGTTCTGGCTTCAAAGTCATCCTCTTGGCCTGGATTCTATAATAAAGGCCTATCTCATTTTCATCTTTCTTGATGCCTGAAGGGTTTGTTTTGTTTTGTTTTGGAGTGAAAGTATTAAGCAAAGGAATTATTCCCCTTTTGCTTTTCAAAGCCCCAAACCTCTTTTCTGAGCCATAGATATACCTATGTTTCTTGGCCTGGCTGGGCCCATGCTACTCCCTAAATCTTCTTTTGAATGACTTTTGAAGGATCTGGCTTTCTATTCATCCTGATCTCTTGCTTCTTTGGAAAATTGGCAGATATTGTATTAGATTTAAAGGAAAGTAATGTCTGGATTAGGAAGAAAATAGAAGATGACAAAGACAGAGAGGGAAAGGAAAAAAATTAAATAATATCTTTTGGTATCATTCTAAGGACATAACATTTATCATTAGCCAACACGTTTTACTGAGTAACATTTCCCTATGAAATTCATTCCATATGTTTCAAACAAGACCTGGGAAAATATTTTCAGATATTTTCTAAGTATATACAAACATGAAATGTAATATTTTATGTTTCCATTTCAAAATGTAGTTTCAAGAGGAATTATAAACTGAGCCTACTAACAGAGATGAATAGAAATAATAAACTAGAAAATAGAGAAAAAAAATTCAGTAAAGTATATTACATATTTCAATTATATATTTCAATTATAAATTTTAATTTTAAAATGTAGTGTTTGTCAGTGGGAAGAAACCACATTTCATTCTTTAATAATACTGGTGCTTACCAATTGTCTGAAGTCTATCAAACCACCTGGCAGTTTTCGGGAAAAAATTGGGAAATGTTGGGTTTGGTGCTCCAATTAAATCCAATAAAACCAATAAATCCTAAGAGAGAAAAAGAAAATTTTCTGATCGCTATCACCAAAACAGATTTTATATTTATCAACAAAGGGAAATCATCCTTCAAAATAAACCGTATTTTAGTTATCCAGAATAACATGAGGAGCTGCATGAATCAACAAAAAGTTTTATCACTCTATGCTAATTATTTTGGAGAACTTTTCAAATCTTGCTTGTGCAACATGAACACATGGCAACACGCTGATTCTTTGTGAATGGAATCCCAAAGAGATACCACTAGGATAAATCAGAGAGAAGACATTTGAATAAATATTTCATAAACTTGAAGACAACACCTTCACTTTATTTTCAAATGGGAATCCAAGCCTGTCTGCACTCCTATTCCATTCTAGTCATTTTGTATTTAATCTGTAGTGATACAACAGCCAATAGGATAGAGGGTACTTGGATAATAGCTACTTCTTGCTTATGCAGAAGGTAAGTAAAATATCTTGTACATGAGCTATATGACATTGTCTCTGTATCTGTTTTCTTATGTATCAAACAAGAAGCTCAAACTGGCTCATTTCTGAAGGTCCTTTCTGGTTAGAAGCCTCTATAACTGTCCCTTGGCCTACTGGCTAAGATCTGAATCCCAGCCCTGGGGGGCTTGAAAAAACATACCAGGTATGCGTGCTTAAGTGCATGCCCCAAATCCCAACTGGTGGGGAAATTATTGCAGTCATTTGGGCTGGGGTGCTTTCTCTCTCTGTCTCTCTGCCTCTCTGTCTCCCTCTCACAAGCACACATGCTCCCTAGCAAAAAAGAAAAGAAAAAAAAAAAGCCTCTGTAATTACACCAGTGTTTTTTAACTTGTTTGAGCCATAGAACATCAGTAGACTTGAGAACTCCCTGAAGACTGTCCCCTAGATTAAGAGCTCCTGGTTTATGTAAGTGAAATAATGTGTGGGTAAATACCTCATGTAGATCCTGACATGCAGTATATACATATTTTCAGAGTCTATGATTCTAAAGGCACTGGTATTTACAAACTCATGAATAATAATTAAATGTATTCATTTAAGCAAAAAGGTTTGAGTCAGGAACATAATACATATTCATAAAGGGGGATAAGCTACTAAGAGTTTGTTTTGGTAAAAATCTCCTTAACCATCAGGCCTCTCTTCTTTCTCAGAATGCTTCATCGCCACGTGAGCATAAGTGAATGAATGAGTCACTGACCATATTCCCCTGACCCAGCAGGAGCTGCCAGTGGAAAATGGGAGGGAGAGAATGCCAACATGAGATGTGTTCAAATCATGTGGCCATTTAGACTCATAGGACAAAGGTTAGGGATGAATGGAGGGGTCAGGAATACACTGTCAGTTCACAGACGGGGTAAGGGCCAGGGATGGATCAAGGCACTGGGAAGGAGGAAGCCTCCAGGGTAGCACGAGGCTCTAAACTGGACTAGTGAGGACTCAAGGACTGTGTAAATGGCAAATGTGAGAAGAGAGTCAGAGTTGGGAGCAGATTCAGGAGTAGGTTGAAGGATTAAAGATGAGTTTGAGCAAAGGAATAAAGACAAAAATGAGGCAGTATTGCCCACATTGCTTATTAATAACTGTAGGATCTTAAGGCAACATCAAAAGTCCCCATCCCATGTCAAAAATACCACAGGAAAATGTCATGTATACATGGTAGTCATTATAATTCTTTGAAACCATAGGGGAAATTCTTCACTCCCATCGCCTCTCTTACTCAGCTTCCCAGAATCTCATGTTCCTCAGGCTTCAGAGGCCTTAAAGAAGAGATTTGCTCTCTCTATCTCTGAATGATACTGGAGCATGTGCTACCATGGGACCAAAGTGAATCTGCTGCTTTCTTAATCCAATTTTTTACATTTCAGTAAACTCAGTCCAACATGACTTCTAACCCAGAGTCATTCTTTTTAGCTCTGTGATTCCTCAAAAACCCAGTGCCTGCCAAGGAATGTTCCTTAATAAACATTCTGCTCCAAGCATGCTGTGGCATTTTTCGGTCTTTACTTGGCTTCAGTAGCCTTGTCCGTGGAAGCAGAGCCTGCAGCTGCAGTGCCATGGGAACAGCCCAGACTAACCATGCCGTGCAGTTGGTTGGTGCCTCTTGCTCCAGGTGGGTGTGGAGTCGATGCCATCTTTGCAGCCAAGTGCCGTGATCCGTACAGAGAATCTTGAGGAGACCAGTGAAGAAAAGCTTCCTCCCCATCAAAGAAAATCAGCTGGAGTGAAAGATCTGGCTTGGAGTCTGAAATATTCTAGAAGAAACCATTTTAAAAAGATCATGAAAATGCTGTGACGATTCGAGCCGGCAGGTGGTATGGTGTTTAAGGGCACTGGACTCTCACATGGCTGACCCCAGTTCGAGTCCTGGACCTGACAGCTTGCTTTCTCACTTTATCTCTCTCTCTTTCTCTCTCTCTTTCTCTCTCTCTTTCTCTCTCACACTCTCACTCTGTCTCTTTGGTCAAATTAAAATAAATAAAGTTAAATAAAATCATTCTTTTTTTTAAAAAAGAAGATCCTGTGATGATTAAAAATATTATACTTTCCTATTAATTGGGGGAAAAAAAAAAAGATGTGCCACGAAGAAAGGAAGATACCAGAGTAAAACCATGCCAGAGTTCATTTCACACCACATCCTCACCGAAAACCATCACACCTCCTACAATCCTCACTCATGTACACCTCACCTTCTCCCACTCCTTCTGAAAATAGAAGCCTTCCTTTTTATTCTTACTCTTTGGCAATCTTTGAAATCATGAGACTGCTATGATGAATGCTATGACATGCTGTTCAGTCTCCCTTCAAGAGATTATGTTGTCCCAGCTGCTGAGAGAGCTGTCAGCCACTTTAGGGACTGCTGTGGCTGAACCTCTGCGATGTGTCCCGCATCTAGAGGCTGGCCTCCACAGGAACTGGAGACTCTCTCGGGTGTTGGCTGAGGCTATAGCTGAACCTGAATTGCAGCTCAGCTTCTCCCTCTGCCCAATCCCATTTCTTTTCCTTCCCTGCCACCAGTGTTGATCCATGGCTGCTTCCTAATAAATGGCCCAAATACTGAACTCCCCATCAAGAGTGTGCTTCCTGGGGAATTGTACCTGAAATAACTGCACATCTGTCTTGCTTCTTAAAGTCTGCCAATTTTTTATTGAGACTAAGTTCAAGAATCTGCCCTAGAAATGCTACAGGGACACAATGAGTAATAATTATAGCCTTTCTCTTGAAAAGAGCTTACACTTTCGTTAGACTAGGGTGTCAGTTTAGGGTTATGTTTAGATTTAGGTTCAGTGTTAGTGTTTCA